TAGTTTTGTGGCCTGAAGTAGGGCCTGTGTCGGTTCAGGCCAGAAAAAGGGCCGTTTTAGGCCCACACCAGGTTCGGCCTGGCCAGGCCCTGGTACCGGTAACGGTTCAGGCCCTGGGTTCCTTTTTTTCCCAGGCCACACTTGGACCATCAGATTCGATCCATGTGTACGGCCAGATTGTTTCCCACCATTCATTCTGGGCCCCACGTTTAGGCGAGTAGGACCTAGGAGAGGCCAGACCAGTAGCATCTATACACTGGTCCATTGTTGCACCCCCCGACGGTTGGCGCCCTTGACTGGTCGGCTGCCGACCCGCCGACCGATCGGCTGGTCGGCACCTACTGGTCGGGGGTCGTCGGCACCCCGCAAAAGAAAAAAAATCCAGAACCCTCAATGACACATCCAACACCCCCATAGCTGTCTCTTATACACATCTAGATGTGTATAAGAGACAGGTCATTTCCCTCGCTACGATCTTTCGGAGCACACGGGGGAGTCGGACAGTGTTTACAGCCATGTCTGAGCATTTTTGTGACCTCGTGAACACATTGGCTGCCCTCTTGTTGGTGAGACGGATCAGTTCAGATGTTGTCCCGTGGGAAATCCGTTACACCACTAATGAGGCAGAGATGAGTACCATGCTCCGCAAGCAAAGGTGTTGATAGTCAGTGGCATGGGGAGAGGTTGAGGGGGGGACTGTCGTTAAAACAATTCTACAAGGAATGGCTCATATTGAGAAGAAATGAGAACATAATGCAGATCCAACTTTACCTAAATGAAAATGAAACCGTAAATTCGTAGAAAAGCCTATCAGCAAAGACGTAAGTGCAATGTACAACAAAACCCACAAAATTTGATAAAAATATAAAAAATTAAAAAAATGCTATAAAGGGCGACTTGCTTGTTGATATTGGTGTGTTCTGAGTGTCCACCTTTGCATTGTTATTGAAACCTTTGGTCATGCGCATAAGGCAGCATGGCAGTCAAGACATGAGAATAGACTGTACATCCAGTTAACCTAAATGAAAATGAAACGGCGGATTTGTAGTAAAGCTATCAGCAAAGACGTGCGTGTGATGTGCAATAAAAACAATAAAAATGCTGTAAAGGAGGGGGACTCACTCGTTGATGTTCATTTGTCCTGAGTGGGCACCTTTCATTGTTATTGAAACCTTCGGTAAGGCACACATAACCCAGCACGGCAATCAAGATGGTAACGAGTGACAAGCCCTCGCTAAGCTGTAGCTGAGAAGACTGAGGAGGTTCGGCCATGTAGAAAAGAGTTTAACAGAACAGACATCTGGCTCAATGAGTGGTGCACCTACCGTCCCCTGCTTGAATTGTGCAATATTTTTAGAGTTGTTTGGGGTTGATGGAACCTGATACAGCTACGATCATATCACAGAGGGATAGTCATTTGCCTTCTGTTGATCAAGTTTTCTTGCCTTGCAATTAAAAATGTCCCAAATTGCGAGGTGATGGCAAGAGAGTGAACCTTTACAATGTTCACTTTTCAAGACAGTTATCCTGGCCTCACCAGAGGGTTGTTTCCTTGGAAGTTGAAACTTTTCATGATGATTTTTGTCCTTCAGTGCTATGAAAAAACTGGCTGATCTGCCACAGGTTTCATGCCTGCTTTGTTTTGCTTTTTATAAGAGGTAGCGGCCGGTAGCCCCTAAAATCGTTGTATTCGTCTGATTTCATGGGGATTCAAACTCCGGATTCACTTATGCTGTGTGTATTATTCAGCGTCATGGGCTATCGCTGCAGATCTTTTTGCCGACCCTTCAGGTTCTTGTAGTACCAGCCATGTGGTTTGTAGCTTGTCTGCTGGAGGAGCTTCACACACGATGGCTATGCACATCATATACTACGTTCACGTGAGGTGCTTGTGTTGGTATATGCACTGGCTGGTTTTGAGCCACCAGTGCCGGTCCTCGAGTCCAACAGCCCTGATTGGGATCCGACGGTCTGTGGTGGCCACTGCCGTTATCTTCCCTCTACCAGCCCTGCCTGTGTCGCCATTTGCAATGGCAGCAGCGTTGGCAGACCTGTGGTGGGCCGGTGCTTTATACCACCGCTGCTCCAGATCAAATCTATATGCCGCGGCATTATACCCGCTGTTGGGTGGGGTGAAGAGCGGTTGGAGTAGTGGGGGGGACAGCACTTGAAATGCTGAGTCCGCCGGCTTTTGTGTTTTTTTTTTAGGCTCATAATTTCCAAGAAAAAGTTAAATAACAATCAGGGACGTGAATCGATTGCTTATCTGTTGAAGAAAAATATTGGAAAAAATCCGAAAAATCAAAATAAAATCCTGTATGGGAACGAAAGTTGTGGCAGCAAAAGAATGCACACTTGTGCTCCCTGGTGGACCCAGGTAAGACAAAAACTTTGTGCCTCCATGTTCCAGGCTTGGTAGATCAATTGGCTTGTTAAAGTAGCCTTGGCCTGGCTCAGATGGTACACCCATGAACTGTTGATATACGGACCCCAGTTAGAATCCGGACGATGTGGATGACTGATATCATCAAGTAATCGAATTAGCTGCCCCCGGTCAGTTTGACAATGATTCCTCAGGGCCATCCCCCCAAAAATGGAAAAGCCTTGGGTGCAGTGTCTATGGTATCAGGCAAGTTTGCCAGGGCACTCATTCGACCAGGTCAGGATTTGAAACTTATTTGAAGTTGTTTCTGTTCAGTTTTATTTTTGTTTGTGTCGACGCATCTGTGGCGGAGCTTTGAGCTTAAGAGGACTTCCTGCCTGTTCAAGTCTATTGGATCAACTTGGATGCGCTTAGTGGCAGTTTTGCAAGGATGTAAATCACTGCCGGAACAGGGATCTCATCCTGATTGGACAGCCAAGCCTGGTCTTAAAACTGTTCTGCACCAGTACTGTTCTGCTAATGGGCACATTCAGACCACCACCTCTGTACCGTAGCCAGCATGGTTACCACAGAGTTCCCATTTTTCCAATTGGTTCGTCAGATGCCCAAGGTGACGGTCGATCGCTGTTTTTTCGTCACTGTGGAACCCGGCCCTGTCCCAGAGGTCAGCCATGGGACTGGTTTTGTTTGAGTCATTCTCAAGCTCAATGAAGTGAGCAGCTGGTTGCAAGTCAAGATTCTTGCTGACGAGTCCTTTGCGACAGCAGGTAGAAATGAAATGGCACACAGAAGATCAGCAGGGGCCGTGCGCAATGATGATACACAAATCAAGAAACAGTCCAGACTTCGAAAGAACAGAAAGACTCCTGATGTTGACAGGAGCCAGACAGAGCATGCCTGGGCCTATGCATTCCCCTCCCTGTTACAACAAAAGTCCTGCCAATCACCAAGGATCTCGATGAGTATGCTTAGAGTAGTGGCTTAGGAATGCTCTGCATGTTCGTTGTTGCAGTCTTGCTGAAGTTTCCAGCATGGCTGCTCAAATTCTCTCTGTCTTCTCCCTGTGTGGGCCTGTTTTTCTTGTTCTGTTTCTTGCAAGCGTTTACTGGTCCACTCTCTTTGATTACTATTTATTTCTGTTCCGTGCTCTGCTGTCCTCTTCTGTTCTGCCATTCCTTTTCCTTAACTCTCTTTCGGTTCCATTTTGTTCTGGATTGTCCCAGGTGGTTCTACTGGTTTGCATTCAGTCCTAAATGGTTTGATCTCCTCCTACTCTGCTTGTTCTGTTTTCGCGTGGTTTGGCTGGGGTTTTCCTTGGTATGCTCTGAACTCTTTGGTTTGGTTTGGGTAGGTTCTCTCATGATGTTTTTTTGTTAATGCTTTGTATGTTCCTCTGCACCTTGTTCCTACTTGGGTTGGCTCTGTGCGACTGTGGTTTTCTCCGTTGCATTCTAGCGCATTCCGTTCCTTTCTTGTCACGTGCAGTATACAGTCTTGCGATGGGAGAGTGCCTATCGATGGCCTCGAAAGAGCACGGATCAGGTTGTGGGGTGGTCCTCTGCCTGTTTTGCTCCATCTCTTTCGCTGTTTTGTTCAGTTTCTTTCTTTCTTACCATATCCCCTCTTGGACTTCCCCTGATCATCGCTGTGGGAGGCCAGTTGGATTTCACTAATCACCCTCAGAAGCACAGGGGGAAGACCGTATGACTTGCCCATGAGGCTAACACTGCATCAGATGCCACAGAAGCTACTAAGTGTCACTCCCACCATCGCTGGTGCCCTTCGTGCAATCGTACACATAGACAGGGAAAGCACGGATGGAGAGGACGAAAGCTCGGAGGAAGTAGATGACGGATTTGACGCATTGTTGCCTACTGACAGTGAGGATGACGATCAAATGCAGGACGGGTCCGTTTTCTATCTCTACAACACAGTCAGCAATGATGATATTGGGACGGAGGACATAGATGAGTGGATGAAGCGCCAAACGATGCACCATCCCGTTCCCCAACGGGCTACCTGAATCTTTGTGCTTACGGAAGCCCCTTGGCCAAGAATCTTGATCCAACGAGCGGGATCGTTGATCATGGGGGACCTGGTTGTCTAGATTTCATGATTGCCCGATTCTTTGGAACCCCTTGTCTGCTGCTACTCTTGTGATCTATCCCATTCTGTTCGTTTTTCTTTTGACTCATTTGTTTGGTATTTGCAGTAAGGCGAACCCTCATGTGTGACAGTCTCAGAAGATTCCTGTCTTTGTTGTTTCATCCCAATCTCCCTGACCTTGGCCATTCCATGCAGAGCTGCTCCATTCTTTCACACTTTCCTGGATGATATGTTTGGCAGCAACAGTGTCATTCAAAGGATGTTTGCGTTTTCATGTGGTGTCACTGGACCGATGGCTAATCCGATCAGGCTTGGTGTATGATCCAGTGAGGCCTGCCACGTTGTTGTCGTACAAAATGCCGTTGCATAACATGCCACACTATGCTGGTCTGTTATACTAGAGGAGAAATTGATGGGCACAGGGAGGGATGTGCACTTAGCAATTTCCCCGGCTCTTTTGTGTGTCTGGCACTTGTCTTTCTGCCATTGACATTTGGCATAACCCAGGCAGATATGGAGAGGGCAGGAATCAAGATCTCCCTTGGAAATGCAACTGGGCCATTGTACTCAACAAAGTTTTCATCCACAGGTGCTGCTGGGACGAAGCGGAAGGCAGACACCTCTGCTCAGGGGCCAAGACAGAAGAAAGGTGCACGGCAATCAAGCATGCTATGTCCTTTAACTGGCGAAGGAGTGCAGGTATGTTTTAATCGCCCTGCAGTTCTGTTAGCTCCGTGGTTATTTCTCTGCCACTTATCGAGTTTTTATGGACACCCCTAGGCCTCCCCACTTGTTTTGATGCTGAACTCTCTCATCGGGCTCGTTCTACTTGCTTTCATGAGAAGTGACATTTTGCATGATGTTCTATCTGGTGTCGATCAGCTTATCGTGAGCATCATGCTGCGCGGCTCCTGCTTCCTGCATGAAGGTTTTGGCCATGTTGCAGACTTCTTCCATCTGGAATGAGATCAAAATGAAATCAAAACGACACGCCTCTGTCCTCAATTGCACCAATCATCATATTGTACGGTTTTTGGTTTGGACTTGGACAGTGTTGGCCATCTTTCTGACTCCTGTCTAGAATGGAATACAATCACTGTGCCTCTCTCTTCAATTACACTTCCTCCTCCTCCTCCTCCTCCTCCTCTGCTGCAAGTGCTGCTTCTCGTGCTTCAGACCTGGCAGGGATCCCTTGTTGCAATGAATTTTCCTTTTGTATAAAAGCCCCCAATATCGCAGACTCAGATTTCTGTGCTTTTCTGAGTTTTTGCTTGAGGGAAACTGGGGTGGCGAGAAGCATGGCAGCTGCCCTAACCTGGATTAGGGCTTGTGGGGCTGGACTACGACCCCACAAGCCCTAATTCAGTTGGGGGCAGCTCCCATACTTCTCGCCACCCCGCTTTCCTCAAGCCAAGCCTTTTCCAAGTTTATATGCCCTACTCTCCTCGGATTAGGCTTAGCGCAGCTTAACAACTTCTGGCCAAGCAAGTCTAGCTGTGATACCAATTGTTACGATCATTGTCAGTTCTGAATGAAAAATTCACAAAGAGACAATGCCACTCAATCGCAATGTGAGAGATTGGAAGAAGAATAAGATAAGGGAAGGAGAAGAATGAAGGGGATAAAAGAAGAATAAGAACTGGAACCAGTGTCTTTTTTCCCTCAGCTCGCCTCCATCTCTCTGCCTCAACATCTCGACCACCATCTTCTCTATACTACTAAATCAAACAGCGGTCCTCACCTGGGGCCCAATAGAAACTGGGCGGCTCTGCGCGGGACCGGTTACGGGCAGCGGCCAAGGGGGAACCGGTGGACCGGCGGAACTGGCAACGAGGGCCGAAGAAATCCTGCCCTGCGCGGCCAGAAGAGGAGCCGGTTCGACCGCGGACGAATCGGGTCCTGTTGGGCTCGCGTGGAGTGGGATTTGTTGGCATGTGCAACGGAACGGGGGCGGGGAATCGGCACAGGCGGAGACGGGGAGTGGACAACGGGAGAGAAGCAGACAGGAGGACGTCGGCAATGTGAGCGGGACGGAGGGAATGGTGAGAGGGCAACAAAGCGGGTGGCACCAGTGCTTCGGAAGGAGGGTGGAGCAGCGAGGAGGAGGTGCAACGGAGGGTGCAAGGGTCTCTCTCTCTCCTGTCTCTTATACACATCTAGATGTGTATAAGAGACAGCTCTCTCTCTCTCTGTGTGTGTGTGTGTGTGTGCCCCCAACGGGCAGCAGCAGCGGGCGCCACGGCGAAACGGCCGCTTTGAAATTGCTCGGGCC